CCCCTTTCCCAAGGGTGGGGGCGCCCCCTGCCGGGGCCGACTCGGCTCCCAGGCTTTCGCGCAGAGGGACTGAGAGATCGAGGAGCGCTGTCGGGAGAGAAAAAGCACGTTTTATTGGAAGTCTGGGCGGCTCGCGGAGGCCGTGGGACAAGGCTGGGGAGGGGCCAGCCAGGTGGCTGGAGGCGCGCAGGTGGTGGGCGGAAGACGTCAGGTGCCGGGGAATCCTGTGGGTGAGAGGGGTGAGAGCGACGCGGACCTCAAACCCTCCCCTCGCCATCCTCCCACCTGGCCCTTCGCCCCCTTCAAGCTTCCCTCCCTCTCTTCTTCCCCCTCCAGCCCCGTCTGAGCTGCGAGACCTGGCTGAGTCCCAGACGCCAGGTGTCTCTACCGCCGGCGGGTGGACAGACCTGCGGGAGACACGGAGAGTTCGGGTGTCAAGAGGGGTAACCCTGTGGTTTGCGACCCAACCCCTTCCTCTGCGCGCCCAGGGAAAACCAGGAAGGGGTCCAAGGAGCTCGCCGCCGCAGTCTCCCCAGACTCACGGCGGATGGAGCTGCGGAAAGTTCCCTCCTCTTCATCAGGTTCCCCGGTTCTGGGAGGGAGAGGCAGAGGAAATAGGGAATGCGAACGGAGAGCTCTTTTCCCACACCGTGCCCCGGGCCCAGCGCGGGCGAGGAGCAGGCTGGAGCGCAGCTGAAGTGTGTGGCAAGAGTCCTTCCAAGAAGGGGACAGTGAGGACCTCCTGGGGTCGGGGAAGGGACTGGGGGCGGGTCAAGGGGCCTCGGGAGACCGCCAGGCTCTCCCGGCGATAGAGTGATCTTGAGTAAGGGACGTTACCTCCCCGTGCCTCAGTTTCCTCATCTGTGCAGTGGGGTTGATGACGGCAACACTTATATACTAGGAAACAGTGGCTCACAGTACACACGCAGTGCACCTTAGCTGTTACAACGAGGTTTATCACTGTTTCCACAGGCAAAGGTATTCATAAAGCCTGTGCTTTACATTTTTATTTAAAGATCAATCAGAGCCTAGGCAGAGGACTGTGAGCTAAACTGGGCCACGAGTGAGATGATCTCATTCCACCGCGGCTCGCTCTTTCCCTGCACTTTGTGTTGTCGCGCTTTGTGATTTTACATCTGTGAGGCTGTTGGAATCCACAGCCACTGCCCCCAATGGGCTGGGACCTGGGTCAGGCAGGGCGGGAGATGAAGTCATTGCTCCATCCCAGGACCTGACGGAGGGCCTAGCACATCGTAGGTGCTTAATATGTGCTCAGTGAAACCGGTCGGGAGGGCTTACGGTCTTGCCCCCTGCGCCCCTCTAGAGCGAGGGCGGTAACAGCCTCTTACCTCTGCTGCTGGTTGAACTTGCATCGGCACCTCTTGCCTGTGAGCAAGGGGAGGAGGAGCAGAGGCTGAGTCCCTCTAGGCGGCGCCCCGCGGCGCTCCTGCAGCGGGGCGCCTACAGG